CTGCCCGCGACCGCTTCCTTAGCGTCCACCCCAGTGACCTCACCCTCACCGACTTTGTCAACACCCTGTCTACCATAGAGACCCGCCACCGCTCTATTGCCCAGACTAGCGGTACTGTGCCAGTCCCTATCTTTCAGGGTTGTGCCCCTGCCCAGTGCACCTTCTCCGACGGTTCTGCTGCTGTGGCTGAGACTGCTGCTGCAGCGCAGCTCCGTCCGGGGAAGGGTCGCTGCCCCAAGGCTGGGCGTGCCGGAGGGGGTGGGAGTACAGGTGGAGGTGGTAGTGGAGTCGGGGCGCCTGGTGGTGGCGCACACGAGGGGACTGTCCCTAGTGTAGCCGAGCCGCCGTCCCAGCAGCCGCAGCCGTCGCAGCCGGACCAGCACCTCCCACACCCGCAACCGAGCCGCAGCAGTCGCAGCAGCCGCAGCAGTCGCAACAGCCGCAGCAGCAGAGGCGGGTGAGTGGTCTCCCGCCCGGGTGGCCTAGCGCTAGTGCGACGGTGGACATGGTGGTGGAGGTGCGCGTGGTGTGCTCCCGGGTGGCAGTTTCGGGTGACGGGCGCTGCCAGTACCAGCTCCTGACGGGTCCTCGCTGCGGCTCCGTTTGCGGTAAGACTGGTCACTCCCCAGTTCGCTGCTTCCGTCGCCTTGACGACCTGTTTTGTCTTTGCTTCGGCCCGTCGCCCGACCTCCCCAAATGGTTCAGCTTGCTTCGTTGTAGTATTACGATTTTTGATATGGACATGGATGAGCTTAGCTCTGCCCTGTATGTGCTGTATGCTGATGACTCTAGTGTGACTGGTTCTCACTACCCTGTGTTGCCTAGTGTAGGTGTGCCTAGTCTTGCCCCCCCTGCTGGCTAGTGTTGGCTAGTCGCAGTGCGTGTCCACTGCAGTCTCCCTGTCCTGCGTCTTCACTCTGACCGTGGGGGCGAGTTTGCCTCCGGCGTCCTTGGGTGCTTTTGTCGTGCAGAGGGCATCACCCAGACGTTCACCCTGCCGGACTCCAGCAGAATGGGGCCGCTGAGCAACGCATCGGTTTGGTCATGGAGGTGGCTCGTACCTCCATGATCCACGCCGGTGCACCCCATTTTTCTGTGGCCGTTCGCGGTTCGCTACGCTGCTCACCAGCTTAACCTGTGGCCGCACCCTCAGTGGCCGCAGGTTTCGCCGACACTTTTTTGGATCGGGTCTCCTGGTGACGCGTTTGCGTTCCACGTCTGGGGCTGCCTTGCTCACGTTCGTGCCTCTGGCACGGACAAGCTTACAACCTGCACCGTCCCCTGCATCGTCCGACTAGCACTTCTATCACCCGCCGTCCCACGTTCCTTTCACTCCCGAGACGTTACCTTTGACGAGTCCGTCTCCTTCTACCACCGCTTTCCATACCGTGGTCCCCCGGTTGCCCACCCCTGTTCTTGGTTCCCCCGTCCCTGGTAAGCCCCAGTCCCACCCCCCCCGCATCCTGCCCCGTTCGGTGTGTCTCATGTCACTCCCCTCCCGTCGGTTGTCCCGGTTGAGGAGTCTGCTAACTCTGGTGGTCCTGCGGCCCGGTCCTTGCCGCCAGCCCCCCCCCTCGGTGACACCTCCACCGCCGCCACAGCAGCAGTCATCGCCCGCCGTAGATGCCATCCCTGCGGCCGCAGCCGTTCGTCGCCTCTGGTGGAGCTGGAAATGGGAGTGGTACCGGTGCTGGAGGGGTTTCTGGCTCTGGGGGTGTTCCTTCTGGGGGTGCAGGAGAGGAGTGTTCCGACGGTAACCGTGGAGCCGCTTTCGGCCCTGGCGTCGGTGTTGTGCCGCAGCAGCCGCTGTCCCCACCGGTGTCAGCCCTTCGCCTGCTCGGCCTTCCGTCCCCTGACCTGCGTCTGTTCCTCTCCTGCCGTCCCCTCCTCTTCCGGTCTACGGCTCTGTGTTCCCTCCCCCGGACTCGTCCCCGGCTCGTCTCCCCCTCGTTCCCCTCTTGTGTCTCCTCCTCTGTCTCCCGACCCGACGCCTCCGTCGCACGTCTGGTCGCGCCGTCCCTCCCATACTCGCCCTGTCTCACCTGTCTCGCGCTCCCACCCTATATTGCTTCGTTCTCACGTGTCTCGTCCTCCCCTCCTCCCGTCGCCTCCTCCGTCCTCCCTTGTCGTTGCGCCTCCACCTCTGTCTGACTACCTTCGTGCCGCTCGTCCTCTTGTTCCTCGGGTCCTTGCCTCTCTCGTTACCGACCCGTCTGTTCCGGTGTCACGTCTTGATGCTCTTATCACTATGGTCGCTGACTTCGCCTCTACCCGCCGCCTTGACTACGCCACCGCTCTGGTCTCTGACCCTGCCTGTCCTCTGTCTGTCGGGGGTGCTCCTGCCCTTGGCAGTAACCTCCTGGAGGACCGCCTGTACGAGCTTGCTTTCCTGTCCGAGGCTGCTCCCCATCTCTATTCCATACTGCTAGTCCCTGAGGGTGACCCTGACGCTTTCGACATCCCGACCCCTCGCACTTACGCTGAGGCACCTCGAGACCCTGGGCCTCTCAGTGGATAGCTGCCATGGAGCATGAGATGGCATCTTGGAGATCCACCGGCACCTACAGCGACGCAGTTCCCCCACCTGGGGTGAACGTAGTCGATGGCCGCTGGCTCTTCAAGGTGAAGCACCCTCCTAGAGAGCCGCCTGTGTTCAAGGCGCGCTACGTGGCTAGAGGTTTCCGTCAGCGTGAGGGGGTGGACTTCTTTCAGACCTTCACTCCGACCCCTAAGAAGACTACTCTTCAGGTACTGCTACCTGTAGTAGCTCAGCGTGACTACGAGCTTCACTCCCTTGACTTCTCCGCTTCTTTTCTTCAGGGCAGTCTACACATGTAGGTCTACCTGCGCCGCCTCAGGGCTTCACTGGTACCTTCCCTCCTTGGACCCAGTGGCTCCTGTGGCACCCCATCTACGGCCTATGCCAGGCTCCCCGTGAGTGGCACGACACGCTGCGTGCTACCCTAGCTGACCTACAGTTCTTTCCGTCCTCTGCAGACCCCTCGCTCTTCGTTCATGCTGGCCAGACTCCGTTCTACATCCTTGTTTACGTAGACAACCTGGTCTTCGCCACTGTAGACAGGGACGCACTGGCCTCCGTGAAGGCAGAGCCGCTGAAGAGACACACGTGCACTTACCTTGGAGAATTGCGCCGCTACCTTGGCTTGCAGATCTCCAGGAACAGAGCAGCGCACACCATCACTTTGACTCAGTCACACTTGGTGCGCCAGGTCCTTCAGTGGTTCGGCCTTTAGTTCTCCTCCGCACAGCCCACTCCTCTGCCTCTAGACCACAGGCTCTGTGCTCCAGTTCCTGAGGAGTGAGCGGAGCCCAGTGGTCCTTACGCAAAGCTGATGGGTTGCCTCATGTACCTGATGACGTGCACTCGCCCAGATCTCGCATACCCTCTCAGCATCCTGGCTCGCTTTGTGGCCACAGGCAGACACCGTCCTCAGCACTGGTCTGGCGCTAAGAGGGTTTTGCGTTATTTAGCAAGTACATCGAGCATGGGGTTAGTGCTAGGAGGACGCAGGCCAGTGGTCCTTACTGGACACACAGACCCTTCTGGGGCAGACGACGCCGAGACCTTCAGGTCCTCTCAGGGCTACTGCTTTAGTCTTGGTTCAGGTGCCGTCTCATGGAGAGCTAACCCCTCGTCGTCTGTGGCTCAGTCCAGCTGTGAGGCCGAGATCTACGTTTGTGCCATGGCGACACTGGAACTCCGCTGGCTGACCTTCTTGCTTACTGACTTAGGTGAGCGGCCTAGCTCTGCCCCGGTCCTGTACGCTGACAACAGGCCCATGATCCTCCTGTGTCAGGAGCCTCGACTCGAGGGCAGAGCGAAGCACATCCAGCTGCGGTACTTCCTCCTACGAGAGCTACAGCAGCGCCGCCAGGCTCGCTTAGTACACCTGGCCTTCGGTGCCAACACAGCTGATATCTTTACGAAGGCGCTTGCCCCTAAACATCATCAGCGGCACTGTTTACAGGTAGGTCTCGTTCCTGTAGCCTCTCACTTGCTAGGGCCTTGACTTTGTACTGTCCTTTATATATATATTAGCTCAGACTGGACTTGTGTCCTCTCCCAGTGGCTGGACTAATAGTGCCGCCCTGGTCTTGTTCTTGTCTTGCCTGTACTCCTGTTGACTGGTCTTGAGACCCTTGTCTCAGTGGCTCGACTAGTAGTGCCGCCCTGAGCTGCTTGTTCAAACACTGCCCCTATGCAGTCTAGGGGGTGTGTCAAACATTAGCATATCTAGTGTTTGTATAGACTATATAGGGTCACCTCTTAGAGAGTACAATACTTGCATATGTATTCTTGTACCCACGTACTCTAGTCATTCAGTTCTTACTTTAAAATGGTATCACGCGTAGGTTAGAATCGCCCACCTACCGCCTCCGCCCGTACCCTATAGCGCCTCCTAGCCCCGTCGCGCCCCTCCTGGGACCCGTCGCGCCTCCCAGCCCCGTCGCGCCCCTCCTGGGCCTTGTCGCGCCTCCTAGCCCCGTCGCGCCCCTCCTAGGCTCCGTCGTGCCTCCTAGCCCTTTCGCGCCCCTCCTGGGCCCCGTCGCGCCTCCTAGCGCCCCTCCTGGGCCCCGTCGTGCCTCCTAGCCCCATCGCGCCCCTCCTAGGCCCCGTCGCGCCCGCTACGGCCGCGTCGTGCCCAGCCTCGCCCCATCGCGCCCTCTAGGCCCCGTCGCGCCTTGCCTGGCCCCGTCGCGCCCTGCTTTGCCCCGCCGCACCCGCCTGGCCCCGCCGCACCCGCCTGGCCCCGTCGCGGCCAGCCTGGCCTCGTCGCGCCTACCCGTCTGCGTCGCGCCTGCCTGGCCCCGCCGCGCCTGTCTGGCCCCGCCGCGCCTCCCTGGCCCCGCTGCGCCTGGCTGGCCCCGCTGCGCCTACCTGTCCCCGCTGTGGCTGAGACCGCCGCTACAGCGCAGTTCCGTCCGGGGAAGGGCCGCCGCCCCAAGGCTGGGTGCGGCGGCGGTGGTGGGGGTGCCAGTGGAGGTGGTGCTGGAGTCGGGTCGTCTGGTGGTGGAGTGGACAAGGGGACCCTGCCAGGTCCGGCTGAGCAGCAGCAGCAGTAGTCGCAGCAGCAGCAGCAGCAGCAGCAGCACCAGCAGCAGCAGCAGCAGCAGCAGCAGCAGCAGCAGCAGCAGCAGCAGCAGCCGCAGCCGCAGCAGCCGCCGCAGCCGCAGCAGCTGCACCAGCTGCAGCAGCCGCCGCAAACGAGGCAGGCGAGTGTCGTCCCGCCCGGGTGGCCTGGCGCTGGTGGTGGTCGTGCGCGTGGTGGTGTGCCGGGTGACGGTTCGGGAGGCGTGCGCTGTCAGTACCAGATCCAGACCGATCCTCGCCGCGGCTTTGTTTGCGGTAAGATCGGTCACACCATTGCCCGCTGTTTTCGTCGCTTGGACGACCTGTTTCGTCAGCGTTTCGCACCGTCGCACGACCTCCCGGACTGGCACATTTTGCTTAGTGTAGAGTTCAGATTTTTGACATGGACATGGATGCCATTGTTTCTGCCCTGCATGTGATGTATGCTGATGACTCTAGTGTGATCCCCTCTTATTACTCCTTGTCGCCTAGTGTAGGTGTGCCTAGATTAGCCTCCCCTGCTGCGCCAGGCGTAGGAGCTTCTGCCTTGTTTAGCCTTGGTGCTTCCACCGTCGCCCAGTTGCCAGACGCCACTACTTCGCTCTCCTTCACCTTGGACTCTGGCGCTTTCCGGTGTTTCTTCCGTGACTCTACTACGCTGACGCCGCTTCCTGTTCCTGCTGCAGTTTCTCTTGCTGACCCCTTCGGCAGTCCAGTAGTCGCTTGCAGTTCCACCACCCTTCCCTGTCTGGCGGTTCCTTCGGGCTCTCTCACAAGTCTGCATATCCCCTCGTTCTCCAGGAACCTAGTTGGTGTCGCCTGCCTCCAGGACCTTGGCGTCACCACTACGTTCCCTGGTCACGAGCGGTACACTGTCTGTAACGAGGCCGCCACTGGTACCCCCCTGTCCACGTTCCCCCGCGACCCGGTGTCCGGCGTGTTCACCCTGGATACCGTGACCCCCCCGGCAGGGGCGCCCCTTCAGGTGGCTGCGTCTACCCAGGTTGCTGCTGCCTGCTCCGGTCGGTCCCTCACTCACCCGACTCTCCTTTGGCACCATTGCCTAGGTCACCCTGCGCTCCTGCGTCTGCGTCACATGTCCCAGCACGGTCTCGTCCTTGGTCTCCCTTGTTCGTTCCCTGCATTTCCCTCCTCCCCCGCCCCACCTTGCACGCCTTGTGTCGAGGGTCGCCGTGCCCCTCACTCCTCCTCGTTTCCCTCTATTGCCACGCCGCTGCAGACCCTGCACATGGACGTCTAGGGCCCCGCCCCCGTCCATGGGCCGCGTCAAGAGCGCTACTTCCTCGTACTTGTTGACAACTTCACTCGCTACACCACAATCTATCCTCTGGAGCGCAAGGCCGACGTGCCTGACGTTCTCATTCCCTGGCTTGTCTCTGCCCGTGTCCACCGAGGTCTCCCTGTCCTGCGTCTTCACTCCGACCATGGTGGTGAGTTTGCCCCAGGTGTCCTTGGTCGCTTCTGTCATGCGGAGGGCATCACCCAGACGTTCACCCCGCCGGACTCCCCACAGCAGAATGGGGTCGCTGAGCGACGCATCGGTCTGGTCATGGAGGTTGCTCGCACCTCCATGATCCATGCCGGTGCACCCCATTTTCTGTGGCCATTCGCCGTGCGCTACGCTGCTCACCAGCTTAACCTGTGGCCGCACCCCCAGCAGCCACAAGTTTCGCCGACCCTTCTTTGGACCGGGTCTCCTGGTGACGCATCTGCGTTCCACGTCTGGGGCTGCCTTGCTCACGTTCGTGCCTCTGGCATGGACAAGCTCACTGCCCGCACACTTCCCCGCGCCTTCCTAGGTTTCCCCTTTGACGAGTCCGTCTCCTTCTACCATCGCTTCCCCCACCGCGGTCCCCCGGTTACTCCCCCCCTGTTCCTGGTCACTCCTTCCCCGGTGGTCCCTGCCCCCCCCCCCTCCACCACCCCGTCCTGCCCCCTCTGGTGTGTCCCATGTCCCCCCTCTTCTGTCAGTTGTCCCAGTCGAGGAGTCCTCTGACTCTGGTGGTCCTGCGGCGCAGTCCTCGCTGTCTGCCCCTCCCCCAGTGTCTCCCCCCTCACAGCCTCTGCAGCCGCCGCCGCCCCTGCTGTCGCAGCCGTCGTTCCCGCCGCCGCTGCCGCCGTCGCAGCTGCAGTTCGTCGACCCTTGGGGTGGTCGCGTCGGGGTGGGTGCTAGTTCTGGGGTTCCTGTTGTAGACTGCCCAGGTGGCCCTAGGGGTGGTACTGGTGCTCGAGGGGTTTCGGGCTCTGGGGGTGTTCCTTCTGGGGGTGCCGGCGTGGAGTGTTCCGGCGGTAGCCGCGGAGTAGCTTGCGGTCCCGGTGTTGGTGTTGTGCCGCCGCAGCAGCAGTCCCCGCTGGTGTCCGCCCTTCGCCTGCTCGGCCTTCCGTCCCCTGACTTTGCGTCCGGCCCTCCCCTGCCGTCTCCTCCTCTTCCTATCTACGGCCCTGTGTTCCCTCCGCCGGACTCATCCCCGGCTCGTCTTCCCCCTCGCTCCCCCCTTGTGTCACCTCCTCTGTCTCCTGACCCGACGCCTCCGTCTCACGTCTGGTCCCACCGTCCCTCCCGCGCTTGTCCTGTCTCCCCTGTCACGCGCTCTCACCCTATGTTGCTTCGTTCCCACGCGTCTCGTCCTCCCCCTCTATCGTCGCCGCCTCCGTCCTCTCTTACCGTTGCGCCTCCCCCTCTGTCTGACTACCTTCGTGCCGCTCGTCCTCTTGTTCCTCGGGTCCTCGCCTCTCTCGTTACCGACCCGTCTGTTCCGGTCTCGTGTCTTGACGCTCTAGTCGCTGCGGTCGCTGACTTCGCCTCTACCCGCCGCCTTGACTACGCTACCGCTCTGGTCTCTGACCCTGCCTGTCCTCCGTCTGTCGGGGGTGCTCTTGCCCTCGGCAGTGACGTTGTGGAGGACCGCCAGTTCGAGCTTGCTTTCCTGTCCGAGGCTGCTCCCCATCTCTGTTCCATGCTGCTAGTCCCTGAGGGTGACCCAGACACTTTCGACATCTCGACCCCTCGCACTTACGCTGAGGCGACCTCGGGACCCTGGGCTTCCCAGTGGATAGCTGCCATGGAGCAGGAGATGGCATCTTGGAGATCCACCGGCACCTTCGTCGACGCAGTTCCCCCGCCTGGGGTGAACGTAGTCGGTGGCCGCTGGCTCTTCAAGGTGAAGCGCCCTCCTGGAGAGCCGCCTGTGTTCAAGGCGCGCTACGTTGCTAGAGGCTTCAGTCAGCGTGAGGGGGTGGACTACTTCCAGACATTCGCTCCGACCCCGAAGATGACTACTCTTCGGGTTGTGTTACACCTAGCTGCTCAGCGTGACTACGAGCTTCACTCCCTCGACTTCTCCACTGCCTTCCTTCAGGGCAGCCTACACGAGCAGGTCTACCTGCGTCGCCCTCATGGCTTTACTGGTACCTTCCCTCCTGGGACTCAGTGGCTCCTGCGGAGTCCCGTTTACAGCCTGCGGCAGGCTCCTCGTGAGTGGCACGACACGCTGCGTGCTACCCTTGCTGACCTGCAGTTCTTTCCGTCTTCCGCAGACCCCTCGCTCTTTGTTCGTGCTGGCCAGACTCCGTTCTACATCCTTGTTTACGTGGACGATCTGGTCTTTGCCACAGCAGACAGGGACGCACTGGCCTCCGTGAAGGCCGAGCTGCTGAAGAGACACACTTGCACTGACCTTGGAGAACTGCGCCGTTACCTTGGCTTGCAGATCTCCAGGGACAGAGCAGCGCGCACCATCACCTTGACTCAGTCACACTTGGTGCGCCAGGTCCTTCAGAGGTTCGGCCTTCAGTTCTCTTCTGCACAGCCCACCCCTCTGCCTGTAGACCACAGACTATCCGCTCCAGATTCTGAGGAGTCAGTAGAGCCCAGTGGCCCTTACGCAGAGCTGGTGGGTTGCCTCATGTACCTGATGACTTGCACTCGTCCATATCTCGCATACCCTCTCAGCATCCTGGCTCGCTTTGTGGCCACAGGCAGACACCGACCGCAGCACTGGTCTGCCGCTAGGAGAGTTGTGCGTTATCTTGCGAGTACATCGGGCATGGGGTTAGTGCTAGGAGGACGCAGGCCAGTGGTCTTTACTGGACACACAGACGCTTCGTGGGCAGACGACGCCAAGACACTCAGGTCTTCCCAGGGCTATTGCTTCAGCCTTGGTTTAGGTGCCGTCTCGTGGAGAGCTACCCGCTCCTCGTCTGTTGCCCAGTCGAGCTGTGAGGCCGAGATCTATGCTGGTGCCATGGCGGCGCAGGAGCTCCGCTGGCTGACCTTCTTGCTTACTGACTTAGGTGAGCGGCCTAGCTCTGCCCCTGTCCTGTACGCTGACAACAGGCCCATGATCCTCCTGTGTCAGGAGCCTCGACTCGAGGGCATAACGAAGCATATCCAGCTTCCTCCTGCGAGAGCTACAGTAGCGCCGCCAGGCTCGCTTTGTACACCTGGCCTCCGGTGCCAACACAGCTGATATCTTTACGAAGGCGCTTGCGCCTAAAGATCATCAGCGGCACTGTTTACAGCTAGGTCTCGTTCCTGTAGCCTCTCACTTGCTAGGGCCTTGACTTTGTAGTGTCCTTTATATATATATTAGCTCAGACTGGACTTGTGTCCTCTCCTAGTGGCTGACTAATAGTGCCGCCCTGGTCTTGTTCTTGTCTTGCCTGTACTCCTGTTGACTGGTCTTTAGACCCTTGTCTCAGTGGCTGGACTAGTAGTGCCGCCCTGAGCTGCTTGTTCAGGCACTGCCCCTATGCAGTCGACGGGGTGTGTCAAACATTAGCATATCTAGTGTTTGTATAGACTATATGGGGTCACCTCTTAGAGAGTACAACACTTGCATATGTGTTCTTGTACCCACGTACTCTAGTCATTCAGTTCTTCCTTTAACAGGTGTGTCAAACATATCTTATGTTGTTGCTGTAGTGTAGACTATACAGGTTTGTGCCTTAAAGGGTACAACTCACTAGTCTATATTGCCCTATATCTTCCTATTCTATTCATAGTCTCTTTCTAACATCTTCGTACACATCATGGTTCGGCGGAAACAATGTTTTCAATCAACCAATCGATCGCGCATGCCTAGGGTCTGTCGAGAAATCTCAACCATTCGAAAAAAAATTGGATTGTCAACCGTAGATGCTGAACATCGGACCGCGCTGAAACGAAATCCGGGGGCGCGCAACCTGAAAAAGGTCGAAATTGCAACGTTTGCAGCAGCTCCATGCCTATTTCCAACAGATCTCACCCAAATGCGTGTAAACGGTAAGTAGTGGCCGTGGACCCAAACCCCAATATTCCCTCACAACCCCTTAGCCGTAAACAAAGGGGTCGTGATTTTTTAGATGCTGTTGCAGATGTACTATTGGCATCACACGCTCAAACTTCATATGTGCTGAATCTTGGTCAGAGCTGTGCAGAACCAACACATGAGAAGGGAAACAAGGAGGGGAAGGGGGAGAGGGAGGGAGGGAGGGGTGAGGTGGAGAGCTTTTCAATTGTATGGAGAGACAAGGGCTGAGACATGACAAGAGGCAAGGGGAGCACAGAACAAAGATGAAAGGAGAGGAGAACAAGAGGGGAGGGGAGAGGGGGGAGATAAGACATGAGTAAGGGGGAACCTAGAAAGAAAGGGAGCTGACAAGAGGCAGAAATTAGGCGGTACAGGAGAAAGGAGCCTCCCACTCCTTTTTCTGCCTTCTCAAACCCCCTTCCCTCAATACTAGGTTTTGCCCATCACCCAATCTCTCCTGCATTCCCTTCCCCTTCCCTTCACTCCCTACTTGGTCTGCTGCTTCAGAGTCTGCTGCCCCACTCCCCTCTCCCAACACCTTCACTAACCTTCCTCTCTCTCACGACCCCCCAGTCCCATCACAACAACTAACCCCACCAGCTCCCCATGCGAGCCTGCTCCTCTCCCCCCCAAACTCCCTCTTCCTTCCCCCACCCCCCCCTCTCTAGTGTGCAGCATCCGCTGCTCTTCATTCTTCCGCCCCCCCTGCAGTCAAGGGAAGGGTGCCAGGAGGGAGGGCACTGGGGACGGGAAGGGAGAGGGGGAAACGAGAGGGGGCCGGAGGGGAGCAGAGGCAGCACCATCTCGTCCCATCTCTCCTGGTTTTCCTTCCCCTCCATCGCTCTCCTCACTGGGTGCACTACCTCTGACTTTGCTGCCCCATTCCCCCCAACCTGATTTCTCATGTCTACCCTCTCCCAGCCCCCACTCCGCAATCACACACACCCACCACTCCCCCTTCAACCCTCCTCTCACCCCCCTCGCCCACAGCACCCGTCGCAGTCCACTCGACCACTCCCCCTGCAGTCAGGGAAAGGTCAGGGGAGAGGGAGGGGAAAGGGAAGGGAAAGTGAGGGGAAGGCGTAGGGAAAGCACAGGGAAAGGGAGGGGAGAGAGAGGGGAAATGGAGGGGAAGGGGTAGGGAACCGGAAGGGCGCGAGGAAGGGTGGAGGGAGGCAAAAGGCGCAAGGCAGTGGCGGAGGGGGAAGGGGGGACGACTTGGGGACGTGAAGAAGGGATTAGGGGGGAAGGGACTTGAGAGGGATGGCGAAAAGGCAAGAGGGAAAGAGAGCGAGGGGATGGGGAGGCGCATGGTGAGATGGAAGTGGCAAGTTAGGGGAGGAAGAGGCGAAGGGGGGGAGGGGGGTGCAAGACAAGGGAGGTAGAGGCGGAGGGAGGAGGGCAGAGTGGCTATGTGGCAGATCATAAGCGAGCGATGGGGAAAACAGATGATCAACCGGCAGGACGTTGTGAGGGAGAGGGGCATTGGGGGGAGGGAAAGGGTATGAGAGTGAGAAGGCATAAGTGCGGAGGGGAAGGGCATGAGAGTGAGACTGCTCAAGCAAGTGCGGAGAGGAGAACATTCTTTCCCTTTCGCACTCCCCTCCTGTCACACTTTCCCTTTCCCCTCGCCCTGTGCTAGCCCCTTCTAGCATGCCCCAAAAGGTCCCCTCCCCCTCCCCTCTCACCTCATCGTCCCCCCTACCTCCCTCTCCCCCCCCATCTCGTCCGCAGCTTCTGCTAAACCCCACTCGTCCATGCCACAACAAATCACACAATGTCCGTTCAAATCCCCCCCCCTTCCCCCCCCCCCCCCCCCCCCTTCTCCCCTTGCCCCAATCATCTCGTCCGCAACTTCTGCTGCAGCCCACTCGCCCATGCCACAGCGTTTTCCTCCCTTCCTCTCAGCAAGTCTCACAGCGTTTTCCTCCCTTCCTCTCAGCAAGTCTCACAGCGTTTTCCTCCCTTCCTCTCAGCAAGTCTCACAGCGTTTTCCTCCCTTCCTCTCAGCAAGTCTCAGCGCACCACATCTGTCCCACCCACGCTCCCTTCCCCTCCCCCCCCTCCCCAACACACCTTGTCCGCCGCAGCACCTGCTGCACTCCACTCGCCCTGCGCTCCCCCTGTAACACTTTCCCTTTCCCCTCGCCCCGCGGCAGCCCCTTCTAGCATCTGCCGCAGCACCTGCTGCACTCCACTCGCCCACGCCACTATGTATCCCGCTTCCACTCTGCACTTCAAAGCAGGCCGTGTCGTCTGACATTGTAACGAGATGACTTGTGAGTCGGCTCAAACGATTACCCCGTTACAGTGTCGCCCTCACAACGTACCTCCCTTCCTCTCAGCACTTCCTTCCCACCGGCACCACATTCATCCCTCCCACATTCTCTTCCCCTCCCCACCTCCCCTCTCCCACTCACCTCGCCCAAAGCATCTGGTACACTCCACTCGTCCACTCCCCCTCCCCCCCAGTTCCCCGCCCCCCTTCCCCTTCTCCCACCCCCCTCCCGCACACACACACCCCGCCTGCACCATCTGCTGCACCCCTCTCGCCCGTACCACCAGCTGATTCCGCTCCCCAATGCCCCCATTTCGCCCCCCCTTCGTCTGCAGCATCTGCTGCTCTCCACTCGTTCATCCCCCCTGCAAATATCGATTCCCACATTCCCCTTGCCCCATGCTTGCTCCTTCTTTCATGCCTCAAAGGTTCCCTCCCTCCCTCCCCCTCCCCCGACACATACCTCGTCTGCAGCATCTGCCGCACTCCACTCGTCGTTGCCACAAGCTGCTTCGCCTTCCCCATCCCCCCCATTCACCCCACACTCCCTTCCCTTCCCCCACCCCCACCTCGCCTCGCCCAAGAATCTTCCCCACTCCACTTGCCCGCTCCCCCTACAGTTAGGACACGGGGGATCCGGGCGGGGGTAGCTGGGGATGGCATGCTGGGGGGGGGAGGGGAGGGGGAAAGGGGAAAGGGGGGAGGGAGGCAGGGGGGGGATAGAAAATGTGAAACCATGCAAGCTAGAATTTGGCACATTTCGACACGCCCTGCAGTCAGGGCAGGGGGGATCCAGACAGGGGTAGCTGGGGATGGTGCGCTGTGGGAGGGGGAGGGAAGGAGGGGAGAATGGCGAGGGAACGCGAGGGGGAAGGGGGAGGAAACGCAAGGGACTGGGACAGGGGGAAGAAGAACGAGAGACGAAGAGGGAGAAGAATACGGGGGTTGGAAAGGGAGCAGGAGAAAGGGGGTGGGAAACGGAGAAGGAGAAAGGGGGTTGGAAAGGGAGAAGACGAAAGGGAGTCCGCTGCCCCACTCCCAATGCTCTCCCAATGCAGCTGCCTGCACTCTACCCACCAATCGTTACACAACCCGAAACGGTAACCATCTCTTCAAACAGCGGTGTAGGGTGCACCTACTCCGGCCGGCACAGCATCTACTCGCTCCGCGCCAACCGCTTCTAGCTTAGAGCCCGCTCCTAGCTTACCCCCCACCATCTGCTCCCCCCCAGCATCTGCTCCGCACCAACCGCTTCTAGCTTAGAGCCCGCTGCCCCACTCCCTGCTCTCCCAATGCTTTTTAAACCCTCCCCTCTCTCATGCCCACCCCATTCCCGTCACACCCAGTAAACCCCCCCCAGCATCTGCTTGGCGCCAACCGCTTCTATCTTACCGGAGTGACGCCAATGAGCCAGCTTCCCTCCTCCCACCTTCCCTCAATCGTAGGCTCTCCCCCTCACTCCCTACTGGGTGTGTTGCTGCTTCAGAATCTGCTGCCCCACTCCCCTCCTGCTCCCCCTCTGCCTCCTTCTCCCCCCTTCCCTTTGCCCATCACCCCATCTCTCCTGCTCTTCCTTCCCTTCCCCCCTCACTCCGTACGGGGTGTCACGGCTTAGGAATCTGCTGCCCCATTCCCCTCCTGCTCCCCCTCTGCCTCCTCCCCCCTTCCCTTTGCCCATCACCCCATCTCTCCTGCTTTTCCTTCCCCTCCCCCCTCCCCCTCACCCGCCCTCTCGTCTGCAGCATCCGCTGCTCTTCACTCTCCCGCGCCCCCTGCAGTCAAGGGAGGGGGGGACAGGGCGGGAGGAGCTGGGGACGGGAAGGGAGAGGGGGGAGGGGAGAGAGGAAAGAGAGGAAGGACCGAGCTTGCTGCTATCGACCCGGTTTCTCCGGGGAGAGTGGAGGAGGGGAGACACGCGAGGAAGGTGGGAGGGACTTGAAGGGGGGGGGGGGGAGAGGTGCGGGGAAGGGACGGTTGGGGGGAAGGAGGAAGGAAGGGGGAAGGGGAGGGGGGATGGGAAATTGCACTTTGAAGGAGAATCAGGAGCAGGAGATGGAAGAAAGTGGCTGCGATGGGCTGAAAAGGGGGCTGAAAGGGAGTCACTCAAAATACACCTGAGTCCACTCAAAATACACCTGAGTCCACTCAAAATACACCTGAGTCCACTCACCAATACACCTGAGTCCACTCAAAATACACCTGAGTCCACTCACCAATACACCTGAGTCCACTCAAAATACACCTGAGTCCACTCAAAATACACCTGAGTCCACTCAAAATACACCTGACTCCACTCAGAATACACCTAAGTCCACTCAAAATACACCTGAGTCCACTCACCAATACACCTGAGTCCACTCAAAATACACCTGCTGCCCGGCCCCCCACTCCCAACCCTCTTTCAACCCTCCTCTGTCTCACAACCCCCATTCCCATCACACCAAGTACTCCCCCCCCTCCCCCCCACCCCCCCCAGCCTACTCTCGCCTCCCTCTCGCGTGCTCATCCCGGCTGGAATGAAATGCGGCAGATGCGGGGATGGAAGCGAGGCTGCCGGGAGAGAGGACGAGCTTTTTGAGCCTAGGGAATGACGACAGGTAGCCAGGAACTTCGCGGTGGTTGATGCGACGACATTCGCGAATGTGGATGTGGTCCTGTACGCGACAAGCTATGCGATGTAAAAACGGAGGAAAGAGATCAGTGGCGATTCTCTACTCTGCGTACGACGGATCTCTCATACTTCCACGGAAACCTTTAGCTCGGCTGACGCAGCAAGACCAGCCATATCTAGTTTAGAACTACTAGCAGAAGGGTTGTGAGGAACAAGTGTCTTCAGCAGAAACGATATTTGCGAGATCAGCAGTCAACCGTTGCGAAAGAAAATGACGACTCATGGGGCGATCGTGGAAATCCGCTTTCGCAGTGCTCGATCATACCCCGGTGTTACCTCAGTGTCGCGTTTGTTTGCGGAGACGTGCTCTCGAACGTCATTGTGATTCGCCCAATCGCCTAGTAACCCGCTGATGCCAAAGTTCCGCGCGGGGTGGGGGAACACACACGAATAGAGGCAGTAGCGCGCGACAGTGTGCGAACACAATTGAGATTCCCAGGTGCCCAGCTCGGAGCGGGTAACAAACACCACTGCGGTTCCTGGCGAACCATGCAATTCGCTGCGCACTGATTCCTTTCGTCAGTCACGCTGCTAGTACGAAACCATGTAAGTTACCCAGTCGACGTTGCGAGCAGAGTTGTTGAGCCTATCCCAGACAGAGCTGGCGCATGCGAAAGATGGATTTGGTAGTGAGTTTTAAATGTTACACTAACGTTTCACCTCACACCATGAAATTCCGACTCTCCTGACGAGTCTCATGCTACGCCAGCCAAGCATAGATTTTCCCTCAAAAATTATTCCGGAGGAATGGTCGTGCATTTGTCCGTCAACCAGGCTACAGACGAGGAAGAAACTGCGATGTCCCTAAGAGTCCCAATAATTGCTGAGCCCATCGTAATGGCAAGACGTAAAATCTTCACCCGGTCACACGACCTGACGGAATGACATCTTTCCCCCAGCAATCGTTGTCATTGCGCCTCGCCTGCCAGGACTTGACCTGGGGATGTCTCCAATTTTAACGGAAGGTCACTCCTCCGTCAGTCACGCCGTCAGTTCTGGGGCAATAATTGTCGACGCTTCACATCTCGACGTCGCAAGGCAAAACGAAGCACAATGCGACCTTCCTGGGCGCAACCGAGATTACCTAAGCGCTTCCAACACAACAAAGTCCCAATGGCGACTCGGTTTTGCCTCTCAGGCTCCAGGTTCACACGACGACGTGCACTATAAAATCGCCAGCTAATTCGAACCAATCATCGCCATTTTATCCACAGCTCTTCTAGTATTGCTTGATTTCCCGGCCCGCTTACTCCATTCCAAAGGACTCAATTTCCGCGATTTTAGTTTTTCAAAGCTCCCCCCTGCCGAACCATTCCCTGCGATTTCCGCCTCTCTTACTCAATACCGCGCGATGGCTCATGTTTCCAAGATCAGCGGAGGGTTGTGCCTCGCATTCTTCCTCCTAGCCCTCGCCCTCACTCCCGCCAGCGCCGTATTCACCAGCTTCAGCGTGGGACTCAACGACGGAGGCGGCGCGTGCAACTACAAGGGCGATTTCCGCGACAGCCCCTTTTTCAACGGCGGTCTCACCGCGTACATTCCTCAGAGCCAATACAACGGCGGCAAGGGCTGCGGCACGTGCTACGAGGTTTCCTGCAAGAACCACAAGAGCTGCAGGGGCGGCAGCGTGACGGTGCGCGCCGTCGGGAAGCAAGGCAACGGCGATTTCCTCCTCTCCTCGACCGCGTGGGACAAAATCGTCCGCGACCGGGCCGCGGGCCGCGTAGAGATTAAGTACCGCGGCGTGGAGTGCCCTAGCAACGGCACCTTCGCGGTACGGGTGATGCCGGGGAGCAACCCTTACTGGTTCGCGATTCAGATTCTGGGCGTGGTGGACGCGGTGGAGAAGGTGGAGATCTCCAAGGACGCCAGCAGCTGGACGAGCCTGCGCGCCATGGGAGAGAGCGCCACGTGGGTGCTGGGGTCCGGCGCTGAGAAGATCGTGGGTGTGGGGAGGACGGTGAGCGTGCGCGTCACAGAGGTGGCCCAGGCCGGGCAGCAGCTGGTGCTGCAACTTGTGAATGTGATCCCGGCCAAGTGGAGCGCCGGGACG